TCTTAATTTCAGCAAAATTGCCTAATTCTGCGTGAGAATTAAGAGCGGATATCCGGATATCAGCGGATATCCGGATGCAAAGTGACCATCTCTAATTTTGGCCCGCGACCGCTTGGGATTATTAATCTAGTACAATACAAAACTCAAGTTCAACTGCCAATTAAAAAAGCGAAATTTTATGATTCACTCACCCAAAGGCCAGAGGAATCAAGCATGGTGAACGAACAGACATAATCAATAGTGGCCTTATCCTTGACACTGACTGACGAAAGATCACACGCGCGGAATGGGTGGAGTGAATTGGTAGGTATTGGGGTACTTGTTGCCTCAGCATGCATTGGGGAATCCCCCAGGAAGCACAGGACATTTGATGTAACCAGGACCTCTTCCATTAAGCCAGCATCCCATGCAACGGCTCCGGTGGTTGACAATTGGCTACATATGTACATTGGAAAACAAATTAGTTGGGAAAATAAACCAAGCAAGTGGAAATGTTTCAGAGATTGTCCGCACTTCATTTCATCCACGATTGGGCCAGCAAGCTCCATCGCATTTGCAACATTTGATGTGGTGAGATAATGACAGTTGTATTGTTGGTTGCTCCAGTTTGGGGGGAGTCCAGACAGTGTGAAATAAAACGAGACATGTTTGTTCCATCGTTTTGACTGATTTCCTGAGGTGTCATCACAATACAAGGTGATGGGCATGTGTCGAATCATCCTTCCTTTCGTGTGGTTCCTCCATGGATTAGGCAGTAAATGTATCACGGTCATGTGATCACCCAGCTCTGTATTGATGCAATGGTACATCAGTTTCAAGGTGAATGTGGAATAGCCATTCAAATATGCAGAAGGAGAACAACTGACCATAAAGTCGACCCTGACATCGCTGAGATAGCATGAGTCCATCCGGTCCAGCAATATTTGGAAACGCACAATAAAATTCAGAGATATGGATTTCGTGAGCGATATCTGAGTGGAAATTGACACGCCAAGGTATAGAGATTTGCAGGTTGTGTCCGTCGGATTCTGGTTCAAAAGCTGGGGTCACACACTTTGACCACAAATCCTCACCTCTTTTATAAAAAAAATGGGAACGACAACGGAATCGTTGGGGAGTTGAACCGGATCGAATAGATAGAAATCTCCGTTTTTTGTTCGAACCATTGGGGCTCTGGAATCCGGGTCCATATCCTCAAGCCATTTTTTGGATTGAAATAACTTGAATATATTTTTGCCCCTCGCATCTTCGGGATAGTAATCCATTGCCCGTGTGACCAAAGGATTTCCAACTTCCTGCGCGAGGATCTTCTGGATGCTCAGGGCGTACGTAGGGTTCCCCAGGATTGAGTAAGACTTGTTCACATCCATCTGTAGCAAATCCCGGTGTTTTTTTTTCTCACGTCGGTTTGTTGTCCAATCAGGTAGGATGACGTGTACCAATGAAAACATTGAACGGATGCGGTCGTAGATGCTCTGCGAGAGTATTGCGTGGGCGTATCCAATGACTAGTGAAGCAATCATGTACTGACAGAAGATATAAAATAAGCAAGCATCATGAACGGGGATTAACTGTAAACACACTTCTTTTGTCCGGAAGGGCCACCAACTCCTATCCACATGTGGTCGAGGTGTGGTACTTGCTAAGTCTCCATCGCCAACCCTGCCCAGCTCGCGCATTAAATCCAGGTCTTCTGCTGATAGCTCAAAATCCTCGCCGTCAGCCTCATCGTTTGAGTTCAAATCGGACAAATCAGATGATGTGTCAAGGTCACTTGCACACGAGTCCAGCTCGTTGTCACTGAATGTGTTTTCCTCTGTATTCAATTCCTCTGGAACCAGAAATTCATGATCCTCTTGGCCATTGGTGGCCAGATCCTCACACGCGGTCCATGATTGGGTGGTTTGATGATTCCCGGCTCAGGATCATCAACCTCATTACCAGCTGAATTTTCTTCCTCACGTCCGGTGAAGTGGGACTCAGGAGTATTCATAGTATCTTTGAACTGAGTTACTCTGCTTTGCATCTTAAGGAAATTATTTTCTAATTCTTGATGTTTTTGGTAATTGATGTGTTTTCGAATGGAACTGAATACCATGGTCCTTGCGCCACAGAGCAAACACGACCATGTCCCACCGTGCGGCTCCTCTGATACTTTATTCCATACAGCTGAAAAAAAAAATCAATTATACATTGGTGTGTGGAATGTTTGCAAAGATGTTGTGCTCACCTGGGTTTAGCTCCAATTGGGGTTTGACCACTTTGACCCGAGGCATTGTCAATCTGATCTGGACTGTGCAATTCCTGGAATGCCCACAATATCCACACTGAATCACTGAATTGTACTGTGCAATTCCTGGAATGTCCACAATATCCGTGCTGAATCACTGAATGGACGAAATTGAATAGTGATGTTTGAACAGGAAAGAATTTGTTTAGAAGACCATGAGCTAGAAGTTTAAAAACAGATAGAAGTGCTGTACAATGTTTTCACAAGACTATATCGATGAAGCAAGAATATAAAGTGAATTTGGGTGTATTTAGATGAGATTGGGATGATGATGAGTGTTGGGCTTCTGGGTCCAGAAGTTGCAGATGCTGGAGCAATCAGATGGAAAGCTTGAGTTAGTATTTATCTCGTGACACAGCTTCTGACATCTGTTCACTCACAGTTCATGCAAGTGTGCCACGTGGTTCTATGGGCTTCTGGCACACTTAGTGGGTGCCTGGTATGAAAGCTCAGGCCTGGCGTCCTTCGCTTCGATACCTGCAGGATTGGTATCTATCACAGGTGTCATGTTAGTTTTCTCTGGGACCACACAGGCCTGGTTGAATTGGCCCAGCCAAGTTCAGGTTCTTTGAAATGAAGATTGACTTACCGGTCAAGATCAAGAACTGGTCAATGGAAATAAGCCGATCGGTTCCAAAGAGCGCCTATTTATCGTCGGAGTTCGCCTTCGTACACGACTGGACAAGCACAATAAGCCAATCGGTTGCCAAAAGCACCTATTTTTCGTCGGAGTTCGCCTTCGGACACGACTGCGCAAGAATTGCGAGAGGAGGAAATTCTGATGCGGACGATAAGAAGTGAGGGCAGCAGGGTCAAGAATCGCGAGATGAGGAAAATCCAGGACGTTGGGAAGTGAGAGCCGCAGGGTTCTAAGCCAATCGGTTGCGATGAGCTCCGTTATTGAATCGGAGTTTGAATCGCGAGGGGAATAACATCCGGTGGTTTCGATAGGCAGTGAGAGCAGCAGGCTAGTCGTTTGTCCCCTTACACATGGGCACGGCCTGCTGCCCGTTCAGCTCGGAGGGGACCAGGCTGCTCATGGGTGTTTTAATTTCACCCATGAGCAGCCATGGGGGATCCCCCTTGGCCCAGCGGGCGGACACCCAGCAAGGGAGCGATTCACTCCCGCTTGCTGGTGGAGACCAAAGGATCAGTACCGACCAACTTGATTGGGAATGGTCGCGCAGTTGGCCATGAAAAAGTCGACCCAGGACGGCGGACAAAGTCCCCTCTGTCCAGATTCCTTTCCCCAAGTCACAAAGTCGACCTCTGTTGCTTATCGAACAGCGTTCAAAATCGACAATATTCATTTTTTCAGCATTCCAAACTTGGCTCAACATAAACGGCCCTGGCATCTTGGACCAACTCCTTTGAGTTTTCAAGTTTCTCAGATACGATATTGCGAAGGACGATAGCTGAGCTACTTTGACGAATACCACGCAAACAGATTTGAGCCTCCCAATCCAGATTGCTTTCCGACTTGGGTTTGATTTCCTCTCATGTCACTCTTTGCTAAGAATAATGGATAGTTTTGCTGATTTGATGTTTGCTTGTTGTTTGCCTTCGGTCCAAGTAGCTCGGAAATCCACCACTTAACCCGGATGCCTTTTTGAACCGAGTGTGGCAAGGTATTAAACCGACTCAAACATACTTGAACAAACGATCCTTTTCTTTTCCCCATGTCTGTTGTAGTGTCCTCAGACTCCGAAAGCGAGTATCGAGACAGCGACCATTCCCCCTTGTCCGCACCGGACCCGCCTGGCCCTAACACTCGTGTGACGACACACTCGTCCAATCGAGACTCTCGCACTGGAGCAGTCAGGCCCACGGTCCGCCGTCCCAATGGCGGTTATAGTGACCAATCCCCCTCGCCTGCACCGGACACGCCTGGCCGCCACACGCGTGTGACGACACGGTCAAACACTCGCGAAGCTCAGACTGGTCCCATCAGGCCGACGGCCCGCCAAACCCATGGGAATGGCGGCCGAGTGCCAGCTCGCCCTCAGAGGGGCGCTTCTACGACTTCAGCTGCCCCGCCGGGCCGCGGGGCCTCTCGACCAAGACCGGGTGAGCATGTTTGCTCTCTACATTCTCCTTGTACCTGACACTGACCGGTGTCTGTTTCCTCTTTAGCTAATCTCCCCGCAGTTCCAAGCAGAGCCCGGGCCCCAGCCTCGAGCACTCAACAAGCAACAGCCAGCCAAGCCCCTGGCAATGAGGCTGACCCCCAGGGAGCGTGGCCCCCAGATACAGTTCATCTGACCCTTGATGACGAGCCTACCAACGACGAGTTTGTCTCAGAGGTTGATGCCATCTTTCAGTTGGGTGGGCCATATGCTGACCTTGGTGAACAACTGGCCTATCTATGTACTGTACATAATCACCCTTCAGACAACATATTATCTTAATTCTCCCTCCCCCCCCCCAAAAAAAAACCCTAAAAATAAAATAAAAACCAAAAAATAAACCAAACAAAAATGCCCAGGTACCTTTGCAAAGGCAATATGTGTCAGCCACCGTGATGCCAAGATGGTAAATCTTCTAGCTACACGTGGTGCAAAACTTAAGATGTTAGAGTTTGAACTCTGGGACTAAAGAGTCCGGTGTGTAATTCCAACAATGAGTGGTAATTACAAGGTTATGAGATAGTAGAAATGAATAATTATATCAATAAACATTGATATAATTTAAACAGAGGGGCCTGATAAATCAGGGGTGGTTTAGTTCCCTCTAAGGTATCGTGCAAAAGCAGAGGATTTAGGTACCTGTTAACACTGGGGCCTGTTTAACAGGGGTGGTTTAAATCCCAGAAGAAAGTAGTAAGAATCTCAAGACAGATGGGGGCATTATGTACTAATAAAGCCCCTTAAGTCTTGACGCCCTGATAGACAGAGAATTAAAGCAAGAGCCAATACATTACCAGACACATACAAATGTTAAGCATCTGGGACGGTGGGTAATCTAAAGTGCGTTGTAATAATCTGAGGAATAATTATTTGGGGGGACAGAGGGCTCTTTATATACCTGTGGAGGCATCTGGGAGATCAGGGTCAACTTGTGGGTGCTTCATGCATGGAGGCTGAAACATGTGACCATATCCTTGGAAATGTGCCACAGGTGTTCTGTAGAAGATGAAAGCTGAAACATGTGGCTATTTCCTTGGAAATGTGCCACACATGTGTTATCAATATACAAATGTATGTTTGAAACAGCAAATACGTTTCAAGTCTTAAACCTGTTTATTAGCATATTTAATTATAAGCATATTTCATTTCCTGCTTGGATGTACACTCTATATCTTTAATGTAGATTTGCCGCATGAAGTAGTTGAAATATGGGGTACCTTTGAGTGAGGTACCCTAGGTTATTCTTCATATAGATTAAGAATATTGATAAATAATGCCCTTATTATTTGATCTTCTCATTTATTTTTAGTACTATTCATAATAATATCTTTTGTATTGTCTACAGTGTTTGTGTACTATGACAGGTTGTCTCTGCTATAGTAGCAAGCTGACAATATGTTGTTGGGATTTATGGCCTCTTATCAGTCAGGCAAGCAATTGAGAGGCTCCGCCACGATATTCTCAATGCTCCACGTGGTTGAGGGGCCGCGTCAGCTGTAGTGTCCACGGCGTTCCAGGCTGAAAACTTCCACTATGTGGCAGTATTTAGCGTACGTCTGACTTAACCAAGCTGAAGTTGCTCTGCCACCTAGCTGAACCAATTAATCTAGGACTATGTCACCCAACAAGCCCGAGAGCTCTTGATGAGCCGGAATTTGGGGGTCTACAGTTCTGAGGCACCACGGGGGGCTCCCAGGAGGGCAAGAGGTGTCCTCACTTTAGTACGGGTGGGCCAATCTCATGTGTTGCCATTCCTTTTTGAAACTCACTAATATGTTTTGTTGCCCAAATCAGGAGAAGATTAATGAACAGAGTGAAGAGTTCAAGAGCCGTTACCTGCCACGTGGTTATTCTGATCCAGATCCCGCTGCCCAATGCAGTGTTACTACATATGTACGAGGCAAACTTAGGAACAGCCGAGGCAAAATGAGAGACTTGGTGAGCTCAAATTCTGTAATCTTACGATTGTGTTTGAACTAACAGCCAACTTTGTTCAGCTCCTCACAAACATTAATATGGAATCTGAGCTCCCGGTTCCAACGATTTCATCCCTATTGACTTTGGTAAGCAACAGCTCCCCCCTCTTCATGAAGAGTGGTGCCTCACCTGCTCCACATTTTTACATCTGTGAATCTACAGATGAGGTCTAGTTTGATCCCACCGCTCCCCAACAATGCACCGGCAACAGACACCACAGCCCAAGGGCGGAGGGAATATGCTCTTCTGAAGTCGCGGTTGGCTTATCTGCGATTCCAAACAATCATAAACTACTTACGCGAAGGGGGCCAATCCAATCGTCAATGGAAAAACATTGATGAACACTTGCGTGACTTGGCCTATAAGAGCCGCGAATACCGATCAGTGTGAGTATAATTTTCAACTTGACCATTAATCATGAAATTGATGCAATGGTGCTTTCACCATTTGCTTGAGACAGTTTTTACCAGTTGGTGACCAGATACGATCGCGAACTTTTTGGTGGCGAGGTGTTTTCCAACATTGATTGAAATTCCATTGCTCTTCCAACACACGAGGATATAGAGGCTCTTGTTGCAAGCAATGCCAGTGTGGACATTGAAGCTGTAGGAGATCCTGGGGAGGATGTCTGAAGAACCCACTTGGGTTGTTTGCCTTTTTCTTTTCTCATGTAAATAGTGCTTGTTTCTTTTTCAGGCTGATTTGCACTGGTGCATTTCTCAATCAGATTTCTGTACATTTTTTGTTGTTGTAAATGGCCAATCATATGTTTCAGTGTGTTATTGACAATGTATATCGTTTCACTATTTCATTCACTGTGTGATTATTGTGCAATGAGTATCCTTGGGCTAGCTGGTGGATGTGCATAAGGCATTTTTTTTATGCCGAAAAATTGGCACAATGCCGTCTGGGTGACAGCTCAGAGACGCCACATTCAAAAATCCTGCTGATGGAAATTCTTTGAGGAGACATCCCTGAAACACCTCCAGGACAGAAGTGGGATGAATTGGGGGGCCGTCACGAGGATGCTCCACAAGGACATCCCAGAGATGGCCTTTCATTTGTGGAGGAGCACACCCCTGGGAGGCTCTGGTATGTGGGGTCTGCTGTCCTGGGGCCGTCCCCCTGGACCCTGCCCCTGGGACGTCCAACTGCACTGGTGGTGTACACCCTCTGGACCATCACTACACTCAATTACACATCTCACCACCATGGCAACACTTCAACACTCAACAACCTCAACAAATTACATAATTCACACTACACACATGCACGTTGTGGTAAATAATACTGTGTTTCTACGCAGAAAAATATAAAAATTTATTGTTATCTCTTTATATATTATATATATCATAAAAACAACAACAGAAATGGATTCCTGAGGTAAAATTAACCCTAGTCACCCACTACAACTGACCCCATATCTCTCATAGTTTAGAAGTTACACGGATTGCAACCTATCACGGGATATCTTTTGGATTCTTTACTTTCAGTATGGCTTGTTTTGAATACTGAATGCATATTGAATATTTAATTCCTTTGTGATGTATTGAATTCCTTTATTGGCACATAGTGCATATTGAATTCCTTTGTAGGTGCACATGCATTCCTTTGTAGTAGGACCTTGTAGGCTAGCCAAATTCCCTCAAGGCAGTGCTCTCACCAGCCAATATCCCTCACCTGCAGGTACTAGACTAGCTAAAATCCCTCATTGGATCTTCAGGCCAGCTAAAATGCCTCAAAAGCCTGTACCCTGGGGCTAAAATCCCTCACATTTGTCTATATAAGGAGGCCTCTGCCTGCCAGTTGTTCCCTCCATCATCCCACCAGTGGACCAGATCATCTCAAACACCCTTACAGGTTATATACAAGTGACAGCCATAACACTACATTATATTGAAATACAACCATAACAGTTTCATCATCATAACAAGTGCCAAGTGCCCATAACCTGCCTCACATACCAGTACTGGTTGAAGCATAGCGCTCCCAGAGCTCCAAGCCTTGGTATTAAAGCTTTGAATAACAACTCCAGCAATATAATCATCACTCATTAACAACTTCAGACCCTTATACACATCACTCGGAAGCTTCATCTTGAACTATCCTCTATCACGATAAATATAACTGCCAAGCTAAGCTTGGTGGTCTTGTTGTTCTGATAGCATAGAAGGGCAGAGCTTGCAACTCCATCATCCCCTTCTCCATTCAGCAAAAGGGTTTCACAACCACTTTTGAGTCTTACAACGTTGCAGGACAACTACATACTCACATCATTATAGTACAGGTATACACACAACTACACTATCTTCTGACACTTGACATATGTAGCTTCTAGGCTGGTCCTGGTGCTCTGTCACTTGTT